GGAGGGTGAAGGAGGTGGCGGAGGAAGAAGGTGTAAAGCTACTTGGCTATGGTGGATGGGTGAAGAAGGTGGAGGTGGAAGAAGGTGTGAAGGTGTTTGGCTATGGTGGATGGGTGAAGGAGGTGGAGGTGRAAGAAGGTGTGAAGGTACTTGGCTATGGTGGATAGGTGAAGGAGGTGAAGGTGGAAGAAGGTGTGAAGGTGCTTGGCCATGGAGGATGGGTGAAGGAGATGTAGGTGGAAGAAGGTGTGAAGGTACTTGGCTATGGTGGATGGGTGATGGAGGTGGAGAAGGAAGAAGGTGCAAAGGTGGAAGAAGGTGTAAAGGTGTTTGGCTATGGTGGATGGGTGAAGGACGTGGTGGTGAAAGAAGGTGTGAAGGTACTTGGCTATGGTGGATGGGTGAAGGAGGTGAAGATGGAAGAAGGTGTGAAGGTGCTTGGCTATGGAGGAAGGGTGAAGGAGATGGAGGTGGAAGAAGGTGTAAAGGTACTTGGCTATGGTGGATGGGTGAAGGAGGTGGAGGTAGAGGAAGGTGTGACCGTACTTGGCTATGGTGGATGGGTGAAGGTATGGAGGAGGAAGAAACTACGAAGGTGTTTGACTATGGTAGATCCTAAGCTTTCAATCTTTCCCTATTTGCATTGTCTTTAACGGCCGAACCATCAGAAAATCTAGACTTGCGAAATTCAGACTTGCAACAGACACTGGGACTTTGCAGAACTCAGACTTGCAAGAAAAATTCAGAGCCGAAAAACTCAGATTTGTGTTTGGTGGCCTAATCGAAGTCAGATGGCCACGTAAGTTCATAGGCCCTTTGTCTATACCCTACTCATGGCCTTTCTAAAATATGTCCTGATCCCGTCGTTGTTTGGCCCTACTTGCCGGTTTCGGGCACCACCCGAGACTCTGGGTGAACAGTTCGGGGAAGTTCATTTTCCATTTTTGCAAAAAAATTGACTCTGATGGCCTGGCGGTTTTGCAGACCATCTATATATCCCTAGGATATGGGGCCTGTTCAGTCCCAGCCCCCATATCCCCTATCTGGTGGAGTTGATTTTTTTTGGCACCCCGGGCCGCATTGGTCCATTGGCTATTTCGGCCTGGTCTTTGCTCCCGGGACGTGGACGGTGGTTTCTCAGCAACAGCAGTTGTCAAGAGTTTGGCTAGGCATCAGCAGTAACAACGTTAAGCACATCATCAGCAACAACAGCGGCAGCAACAGTAGCAGCTACAGTCTCCTATCGACTCCCCCCCTTTTACCGCGTTCAAGTAGAGCACAGGGGGGGGAAGCGGCGTTCAAATAAAGCACCGGGGGGGATTATTGTGCCATTCAAATAGAGCACATGGGGTTGAGCTGCCACAGATACAGAGTGTTTACTGTATACATACGACTATGTCAACAAAATGGACAAAGATAGAAGTTGCATTTTACGTTCAAGTGAAAAGATTGACAAAGTATAAAAGGGGGATGAGTGAAACTCACTCCCGAGCTCGGAAGCACAAAAAGCAAAGTGGCGAAATACTTTGAAGTAGGAAAATGGACAAAGCAAGAGCATATGATGACATGCACACTAAGATGAGCAAGAAATGGAGTTGCGATTTACACCCAAGTGAGAAGATAAACAAAAAGTGAAGGGAGAGTGAGCGAAACTCACTTTCATACATGGAAAACTCAAAATGCAAAGTGTCGAAAAACTTTGAAGTGGAAAAATGGGCAAGAGCAAGAAATGAAGTTGCCATTTACACCCAAGTGAGAAGATAAACAAAAAAAGAAGGGAGAGTGAGTCTCATGCATGAAAACTCAAAATGCAAGCGACAAAATACTTTGAAGTGGGCAACTGGACAAAGCATGAGCATATGATGACATTAACACTAAGAAGAGCGAAAAATGGAGTTGTGATTTACACCCAAGTGAGAAGATGGACAAAAAGTGAAGAAACAATGAGTGGAACTCACTATCATGCATAGAAACTCAAAATGGAAAGTGACGAAATACTTTGAAGTGCGGAACTGGACAAAACATGAGCATATGATGACATGAATACTGAGAATGGCAAGAAATGGAGTTCTGATTTCCACGCTTTCCATCTTCATATGCTAGATCCAATACGACTAGGATTTAGTCGAGCCGCTCGCCTTGGGAACTAACTAGATCCTCAATTGAAATGAAATTGGGTGAGTACTGGCGTATTAGCATGAAATCAATCATGCTCTCCTCTTTCGAGCGCACCCATAGGCGGTCGAATTGAACCGGGGTCTATAAAGGCGCTCGCGTTCATTGAATTGCTTTCTTTTCTACATACAATCCACCGACTTCCCACGGTATTGCCATGGTTCTTTGTTTGTATAAATAAGAACTAACGGTTTCACCGTTATGAGCCAGTTTTTCTATAAGCGCTCACACGCCTATGGGGCAAAAGACATGAAGCGCCAAGTGAGAAAATGAACAAAAAGTGAAGAGAGAGTGAGTCTCATGAATGAAAACTCAAAATGCGAAGTGGCGAAATCCTTTGAAGTGGGAAAATAGACAAAGCATGAGCATACGATGATATCAATACTAGGAAGAGCAAGAAATGGCGTTGCGATTTACACCCAAGTGCGAAGATGAACAAAAAATGAAGAACGAGTGAGTGAAATTCACTCTCATGGGAAACTCAAAATGCAAAGTGGCAAAATACTTCGAAGTGAGAAAATGAACAAAGCATGAACATATGATGACATCAACACTAAGAAGGGCAAAAAATGGAATTGTGATTTACACCCAAGTGAGAAGATGAACAAAAAGTGAAGGAATAGTGAGTAAAACTCACTATCATGCATAAAAACTTAGAAAGGAAAGTGGCGAAATACTTTGAAGTGGGAAAAGTGACAAACCATAGGCACATGAAAACAAGCACACTAAGAAGAGCAAGAAAATGAGTGGCGATTTACACCCATGTGCGAAGATAAACAAAAAGTGAAGGGAGAGTGGGTGAGACTCACTCTCGTGCATGAAAACTCAAAATGTAAAGTGACGAAATACTTTGGAGTGGAAAAATTGACAAAGCATGAGCATAAGATGATATCAACACTAAGAAGAACAAGAAATGGAGTTGCGTTTGACACCCAGAAGATGACAAGAACGTGAAGGAAGACTGAGTGAAACTCACCCTCATGCGTGGAAACTCAAAATGCAAAGTGGCGAAATACTTTGAAGTGGGAAAATTGACAAAGCATGGACACATAAAGACAAGAACACTAAGAAGAGCAAGAAAAAGAGTTGTGATTTACACCCAAGTGAGAAAAAAAACGAAAAGTGATGAAACTCATTCTCATGTATGAAAATTCAAAATGCAAGTGACGAAATACTTTAGAGTAAGAAAATTGACAAAGCATTTGCATAAGATGAGATCAACACTAAGAAGAGCAATAAATGGAGTTGTGATTTATACCCAAGTGAGAACATGAACAAAAAGTGAAGGGGGAGTGAGTGAAACTCACTGTCATGCATGAAAACTCAAAATGCAAAGTGACAAAATATATTGGAGTGACAAATTGGGCTACATGGAGGCAATCTTTACTGGAGAAGTTAATCCCTACCTTCCCCATGCTTAGTATGTTAGTTATGAAAAAAAAGAAAGAAAAGGAGAGAGGAGAGGAAGGAGATGGAAAAAGACGAAGAATAATTAGGAGAAGAAGAAGAAGAGAAAGAAGGAGGAGGAGATGAAGGGGAAGAAGAAGGAGAGGAACAATGATAAGAAGAGGGGAAAAAAAAATATCACTCCCCTTATTTAGTATCTTGAGATGGAGATGTCAATCTTGGTGAAACCCTCTCTTCCTTTGCACACTTGTAGCCCAGTTATGGCTTCCTTCTTCTTCAAGCCCTCATCTCCTTCCTTTCCAAGTCTCTCCCAGGCTATGGCAAACTCTTACCACTAAGGCTATGGAGTCCTCCCCTCTAGGAGGGCTAAGTGGACCCCTACTACCCTTCCTCTCTCCTTCACAGTCTAGGGGCTATGGCGGATCACTTCCCTAGGTTGGCACAACCTCCACTAGCCTCAATACCCTCTCCCACTAGCCTACAGTCTCCTCCAAGCTTCCAAACTGGCAGAGGTTCCCCTCTTCTCACTCCAGCTGAGTGTAGAGCTCCCTTGGGCTCATATGGGCAGCATGTACGTGCCTCATGTAAATGTGAGTGTGGCGGGATGCTTCCCCAGCTTATATAGGTTGTGCACAACACTTCGGTCAAACCATGGGCTTCCCAAGTGCCCCATGGTGAACCGCAGTACCCCTAAGGCTATTTTTCTCCATCAGGTACATGCAGTCCGGGTGGTTGGTACCAGCTCGGACAGCCTCTAGAGCCTCCGCATGCGTCATTTTCACTTTTGGATGTTGCCCCTTTGGTCCGAATATTGAAGGGGCATCCATACTTGAAACAAAAAGGCCTTGTGAGACTTTTTTTCGATTTTTCCTGATCCTATCCCAATTTGAGTAAGCCGAGGCATTTGTTTTTGTCTCGGTGCATTATCAGCCTTGGATTTAACTGAGATTTAGATCCAAGGTCCACATTAATCCGAGCTACCCTCAAGTGGTCCTTGCTTCAGATTTAAGCCCCAAGACTCAATTTTTTAAGTCTTTTGTGCATCCGGCCATCATTTTCGGTCAAATGCAATGTTTCGTTTTTTTCCCTCTTTTGTTTCTTTCCATTTTGGGCTGCCAACTCTTTCCAGGGTTGGCCATTTGAGGTGGCTCCACAAAACACGGCCATATTTCCTCCTCCATGAGATCTGATCTCAGATCCATAGCCTAGAAAAAACTCGGGCAACTTATTTTTGTTTTCTTCTTTTAATTTTATCTTTTCAATTCAGATATTGTCTTGATAATGCCCCAAGGGCCTTAGCTCTTCACTCCAGATTGCCCTCCACTAAATCCGGAGTGATGAGGTCAGCCGATCCGCATTGTGCCAGTCCCAACTGGTCGGCACATCCTCCTCCACTATTTTCTCCCCTTTGTCTCATTCTCCCTCCTTTTCCCCCCCTTTTTCTTTTCTTTTCTTTTGTTTCTGTTGTGACAAGTGTCAAGCAACTATAGACTTTTTTTCTAGGTCATGGATCTTGATCTAGGGCCAGATTTAGATCCAGCAGTTGACTGTTATTTCTCGGATTTCAATAATGAAGCCCCTACATTCATGGGGGCTTCATTTTGCCTCCGTTAGTCCCAATTTTTGACCCCCCTTGTTCCGATGTTTCCTTGACAGCCTACTTTCTGCATAGAGCCCCTTGGGGCTCTATTTTTTCATGCCTTGCTAGTACGAGATATCTAGGACTGCAAGGCAGATCTCCCATCACCATTTCTTTCTTTTTTTGCCTCCAAAGTCCCTCTAACTTGGCTCCATTTAATTTTTGCACTAGTGGTTGCTAATATTTCTCACCGTCAAGATCCTAATCTTGACAGTGTCACCTGCTTCACGTGTTCATCCTTCATGCGCATTCCATCGTTTCCATTGGGACACTAAAGTCCCCGACACTTGTCCCATACTAGTTTTATTTTCTAGTCTCGCCGGTAGTCCCGCCGGTACATGTCCCAATTTTCGATTATTTTTATTTTTGGCCCATTTAGTCCCCGACATCGTTACTGTTGACGTTCCACTTTTTTGGGGGGGACTTCCCAGTCCCCGACAGTCCCAACGTCTCCTTCTCATGTGTCTCAAGTGCCTTGATTATTCCCGGTCACCAAATCCTCAT